CTCTGCACCGCAATCATTTTTATGTACAAGTAGCAGTGGTACTTCACATGGACTCATGCATTCTCTCACATACCCTTTGCTCACCAACTCCAGTTGCCTTTGAAGCTCCTTTATTTTATTGGGACTTGTTAATTTGAAATAATAGCTACAGGTATAAAATAAATTTGATATTCAATGCCTCGAATGGGTGGCAACCTACTAGGCACCTCCTTAGGGAGCACGTCCTCAAATTCCTACAATAAAGAAATAGCAAAACTAGGAAGGGGTCGGTTAGTTTCATCAAGATTAAGGAATAATTCCTTGTAAACCAATAATATCAAAGTTTTTATGAATGCCCTCTTAGTTCACTCTCTTTTGCAAAAATAAACTCGCTTTTATCTTTTCTTTTCTCTCTGCAGGCTCTCAACTTCTCTTTCTTATGGCTCTATTCATTTTTATTATTTTCAATCACCGCTCTATTTTCTCTCTTACTCTCTCTTTTTAATTTCAATTGATCCTTATAGATCTACTTTGATTTTAAAGGAACAAGTGTAACTAATTTTCCATCGTTGATAAGCTGTATCAATTTCTCAATCCTTCATATATCATTTTCCTATCATACAGTCATGGCCTTCCCAATAGGATATATCCAACATGTATAGGAACCACATCACACATTTTCTCATCACTATACCTCCTAATGGTAAATCTCACCAAGACTTGTTTTTTAACCTTGACCTATCCACGTTCATTCAACCACTGTAACGTATAGGGTTTTAGGATGTTTTAACATAGACAATACCATATTCTAAATGGGGGTGGTACTAGCTACATTGGTACAACCCCCCATCTATAATCATACTACATACATTATTGTTAAAATAGCATCAAGTATGGAATATATTCTACTGCTCCACATCATTGACCTTGATTGTGTACTAAGAGCACATCTCGCAACAAGTACTTCACATTTTATTGGGTGCTCTACTCCATCACCATCACTCACATCCTCCAACTCAGGTATCTCATCACTATCACTCTCATTCTCAGTCACCACTTCCCCCATTGTCATGAAATATCATTGCCCTTTTGTTTGGGCATTGAGATGCAATCGCCTTGAACGCAAGTGTCTAAAACACTTGATATTTCTATTCCTAGAAGTTTGGGAATCTAACTTGGGTTTCTATGTGATAGCTACCTTTTCTTTTCCCCTAGATGATTCAATTTTGTTCTTTCAAGCAGCCCCATCTCTCCTATTATGACTCCATTTCAATTTCCAAGGAGGACTAGAACCCAAAGAATACCTTGTTGTTCATTTTCATTTTAATTGTCTCTCCACCTTCATAGACATATGCACCATTTCTTCCAACTTCACATACTATTGTAATTCAACTACATTGACTATATATCTATTCATTCCATTAAAAAATCTGGTCATTCTGACCTCCCTATCCTCCTCAACATTAGCCTTAATCATGGTTAACTCCATTTCTTTATGGTAATTCTCTATACTCCTTCAACATAGACTAAGGTTTTGTAATTTTTGATAAAGGTCTCTATAGTAATGATTATGTACAAATTTCCTTTTCATGAGAGCTTTCAATTTACCCCAGATTTCTACAGGCTTCTCATAATTCCTTCTCCATTTGTCACCTTTTGACCCCACCATATTATTGTATAATCAATAAATTTTATTACCACTTGTTTTACCTTTTTCTTCTCATAATAATTATGGCAATCAAAGATCAACTTTAACTTCTTTTTCCACTCCAAATAAACTTTAGAGTCATCTCTACCTTGGGATGAAGGAACTTTCATCTTAATACTACTCAAATTATGATCAATTTTATCTCTATCTCGACCACCAAAATCTCTAGGATCTCCTCTAGACATTTCATGCATACATCTTCTATTCTTCATACTACTTCCATTAGCTACCGAAATTTGGTCATCCTCATTCTCACTTTCTACATCATTCGAATCATCAAATTCAGCCCTATCTTGCCTCCTAACATTAGGAACTCTTTTTGGTTGATCCATTTTTAAGTTCGTAATCACCTTATCCAGCATATCCATTTTATCCCTAATTCTTCAAACACTATATTCATCCTCTCATATTGTTGTTGCATAGATTCAACATTAAGAATTACTTGTTTTCCTCCTTAGATGTATATTCTTCTTTTCCAAACATCTTAATAACTAGAAAAACAATCCTCACGTGTTTGCACTCGAGTGTTTCACTCAATATTAACATTTTCCCTATAATAAGCTCAACATTCATGCATTTTTCCTTTCTATGCCTTTTTTTTGTCAAGTTCTCTATGGAATTAACTAAAACTCAATCAAGAATTCAGCTTTTGTAATATTCAAACGTGTAAGAAGTAAAGAAATAAGAAGGATAATAATACTAGAGAAAGGACTCAAGAAGAAAAGATCAAAAGAAGAATGAAAATACCCCCAAGAATTTTAAGAAAAGATTTCTTGAATTTGGTTTATGTTGTTTTACAACACCCATTCCCAAGGATAATATTTGTATCAAATAGTAATAAAGATGGTATTTCTTGAAAATTTTGAAATTGAATATGCTTTTCTTGATCTTTCTTTGACCTTTCCTTGAATTTTTTTTTTTTAAACTTTATTTGCTTTTCTGCTAAATATTCTTTGCTGTTTTTTTTTTTTTTTGAACAAATTTAATAGAAAGATCGAACACAAGGCAAGAAATTGAAAAAGAATTTGTGCTGGTACACTGAGTTTAATGCACTAAACAAATCTTGAATGATCTTAATGTAATTGTTTTGATGTGAATGACTTAAAAAATGTGATGAAGATTTAATGAAGAAAACACTAGAAGAATTGGAACTGGAAAACAAAAGAAAGATAAAGAACAAAATCTCGATTTTAGAGTCAAAACTCTAATATCAATTGATGCGAACTTTGTCTCAGGATGTACCCTGATACCACACAAGATTTGATAGAATCCGAAGAAAACTAAAATCAGAATTATAACCAAGACATCATGATTTCTTGAATCAAGAACCAAGGTTGGAAAGATTGAACACCACAAAAATTGGAGTCTTTGATAAGTTCGAGATATTTTAATTAAGAACAAGATATGAAAGCGAGTAATCTCACTTTGTATGTTAACAATGAATAATGCCCATATACAATAATAAAGAAATCCTATTCTACTTGAAACACATTAAGATAAAATTAAACAAATAGAATCCAAATCAAATTGAATAACAAAATTTTGGACACATCGCATGGTTGTATTTGTTGCAAACTCGTGTTTTGAAATTTTGATGCTCGCAAAGGCAAGGAAATTAAAGCTTTGAGATGGCATGGCTTTCCGAATCAATTCCCTCTTTCTTAACTTGAATCAAATGCACTAAGTTTGGTTCTTCATGCTCATCTTGAAATTTTATGTTCTGCTAGTTCCACTCAAACTCTCACCCCACGTAGTTTAGACAAGTCCTTGTATGGTTTCTTTGATCTTGATTTTGAAATTGGTTCATCTGAAACATGCAATGGATCCTTACTAGTTTGCCCTCCATAATTATCCTCATCATCGGTATGAAAAGATAATTAGGTTAATATTATGTGCCAAACATTGAAATAGCCGATCATTGTTCATTGTCATATTTGATTTTATCAATTCAACGTACCAAATGTGTTAATAAAGTACTGTATAAGGGGGAAAAGAAGGACTTATTTTTATCTTTAATTAACCGTACGAATATCTAGCCATTATTATGTGCTGGACATTGAACTTGAAGAAAATTAATATTCTTCATATTTGATTTTATCCAATGAACGAACCAAATGTGTTACTAAAGTATCGCACAAAAAAATACAAGTTCTTTCAGCCTTTTTCTATGGACGACTATCTAACTAATATTATGTGCCAAACATTCAACCTGACGTAGATTTTTTGTTCATAGTCATATTTGATTTTATTAGTGTTCTAAAAAACTCGTCTAAGTGGCGCCTAGGCTCGAAGCATGGGCAAAACGCCTCGCTTCACACCTAGACGCTTTTTTCTTTTTTTGTTCCAATTCTTAAACGGCTGAATTTTTTTCCTCCATTTCTTCCACCTTCAGTAGACACATTTTATTAGTTTTTTTTTTAATCTTTTTAAAAGTCTTTTATTTGACTCTAGCTTTTTTTTTTTTTTTAAATTCATTTGACTTTAATTTCAAATTTTTAAAAGATTTTATTTGTACAAAAGTTAAAATGATTTTATCTAAATAGTTAAATGAGGTTTAAATCTCGATGTTATCTACATTATATAATTATGATCTTGAGGCTCATTTTATTATAAAATCCAAAAGGTTGCATGAAATTCCTATAAATCTATTAAGTATGATTTGTCTAATTGAATATTAAGACTATGAAAAATATTCTAATTTTTGCATTTCGAAAACTTTATAATTGTATAATTGACTAATGGTAAGAGTTATTAAGTAAATGTCATATTTTTATAATTTTAGATGTTTAATATGTAGTATTTTAATTATTAAATAATTTTTAAAATGATTAAAAATTTAAAATAATATTTTAAATAAGAAAATATTTTTTTTACGCTTAAGGTTAGCCTGGGCCCGCTTAAGCTCATAATCTTATCCGTTTGAATAACAATTATATTCTTATGCTTGTTTGGTAAGAATTAAAATCAAATTGTAAATAAATTTAAATAAAGCAAATGAAATATGTAATTGAAAAGTAGTAAATACCATAAAATAAGCAATTAAAATTAATTGTTAACTTTGACTTATGTTAAAATTTAGATCTCAAACCCTACCGGACTTAATGTCGCACAAGATTTTTTTTTTTTTATTGGCAGGACCTGATCATGCTGCCAAAATGGCCAAAAGAAACTGCTCGCTTTAAGCAAAACCAAACATGCTCGGATCCCACGAGACCCTTCAAATTAATAGAGCAAATTACTACAAGAATGGAAATTCTGAATAAACTGATGTAGAATTATAAATAAAATTTTGAATGGAAATTCATAATTACTTGTACATGAATGTCCATTGCTTTTCTGATATTACAAGAATAAATAAATGAGTGCTATCACATAACAACAATAACAGTAGATAGTAGTTAACCGCCGCGCTCTTTACAATATTTAAGCGTAAATTCCACAGGTCTTTCCACCTTATTACAAGTTGCACATCCTGTAATTACTACCTATTTTAAGTGAAATAATACGAAGGGCACAAAAGAAACTGCAGTCTTCAATACATGGATTTGCCACTTGACCAAGAACACAAAGGAAACTGCAGTCTCCAATACATGGATTTGCTTGACCATGAAGGAAAAGAAACAAAGGTAGATAGAGAGTAACTATATTACAATTAACAGGAAGAGTGTCAGTTCGATGAAGGTAGCTTCCAGAAGGTCTTTGTGGCTACAAGAATCTGCTCCGTTCCATGTGACCCTGGTTCTTTCTCATGTATAGAGGTTTTCCATCTTATAGCACGAGCAATACGCTCTACTTTGTCAATCCCTTCTGGAGAATCACGGACCAATACTGTCCCTTCAGGACGCAAAATTCGATCAATTTCCACCATCAAATCCACAAGGTTACATCTGCCATCAAAGTCGAGTGGTGGATGATTAGTTATCTACTCAGAAGTGGGAATTTCATGCATTGTTCTTTCCAACATCAAGTTAGGCATTTCTTGGATGTATATACAGATCTTTGTTTAAACAATTCCTTCGTCAACAGTGACAATTCCTATGTTGGATATTTGTGATCTAGACTATTTACACTATTGATTTGGCGTAACGAATTGATGCAAAACAAAATTAATAATGCTGTTGAAGAAAGGCCAAATATATTTTCAACTCAAAATGACGCGCTCCAAAATCTGTTTATTTAGTATCGTCATCCATATCTTCATCTTTATAAACATGTAGTCAAGACCCCAAACAACGAGGTATATAATCTGATTAAAAAAAAAAAAAAGTGTTGCAGCAGCACCCGGATCCTTTCCCAGCAAAAAAAAGGAAGAAAAAGAAGCAAATCTCTTTTACTAAATTGGGGAAGCCACAAATCTCTCATTAAATTGATACAACTCTTTTTTCTTTCAAGTACCAATAATGCTCCATGAATACTACATATATTTTAGTAATTAATCATTTGAAATGCATTTAAATTCAAAATGCTTAGCTCAGTTTCATGAAACATATTAATAGAATTGCTGAGATCGTATCCCCAGAAAGACAACCATATCAAGTGAATTCAGTTGATATAAAAGAGAGGGGGGAAAAAAAACCAACGTATGCTGAAATCCTGACACGTGCTCATTGAACCAAGAGACTGAAGCAACTGACTGTTTTCTTTCAGTTAAGAGTTTCATGGGATATGACAAAGAAGTGCGCAATATATACAGCGACATTTCCATTATATGTGTCAAGTGAGCAATGGAGGAAATATTAAGATATTGAATAAATTTAGTAATTACGCACATCATCATAAAAGGAATTAGCATACCTGCTCTTCCCAGAGATGGGATCCTTGATAAGAGATTCAATTGCAGCTACATGGATGAAATCATAAGTCCGAGGATATGTTGAGAAAGGTTCGCACCTGTCAACATAAATCATAAGCATAAATAGACGGTTAAAATCCAATCATACATTAATATAAGGGAAAATTGCAGCAAAGGCCTCAAACCTTTAAAACATTATCAGACTTTTCCCAAACCTTTAATTTGTTACAACCGTCACCCAAAACCTTTCGAAACGTTGCAGCAGAGGCCCTTTTAGAAGGTTTTTATCCAAATGTCTGTTAGTTGACTAAGAATTTTGACTTTGATCATATTTTTAATATTTTTGAAAGGGTAAAAGAGTATCTTCCATTTATTACATTAAAATAAGTGAAAAATTAAATTAAAAAAAAAAAGAAATTAAA